ATCCTCAATGTTAGCTCGTAGAAGTGGGATAAAATATCAACCATCCTTCTAGCATGTTCCCAATCAACAAATGACGGTGGTCCATGCTTGAGCTCTAGTTTAAAGTAAGGATCTTTGATTTCATACCTCTCAAATGCCCTCTCAAACTTTTGTGCAACATTTAACATCAAGTAAGTGGAGTTCCACCTAGTGCTCACATCTAAGCATAACAAGCTTTTACTTACAATACCTTCATCATCACAACATTCTCGAAATTTTGCCAATCTAGCCGGAGATTGTTTCACAAATCGAACCGCATGACGAATCTTCTTAATGGAATACTTGATTTCATTTATACCGTCCACTACTACCAAATTGATAATATGAGCAATGCACCTCATATGAAGAAACTTGCCTTTCACAAAAGCACAACCCCGAGAAGTCAATCTACTTTTCAAATATGTAAGACAAGTATCATTAGAAGATGCATTATCGACGGTAATAGAAAACACCTTTGAGATTCCCCAATCACGCAAACAACCATCTATTTGCCTTCCTAAATCCTCACCCTTGTGACTCTCAATGGGACAAAAGTTGATGATCTTTTTATTTATCTTCCATTCTTCATCAATGAAATGAGCAGTGACACACATGTAGTTAATCTTTTGCACAGAAGTCCAAGTATCGGTGGTAATAGAAATAGTTTTTCCAGACCTTTTGAAGTAATTTTTTAATTTTATCTTCTCATCTAGGTATAGCTGATAACAATCTCGTGACACGGTCCAACGAGACAGAATTTTAAACCTAGGTTGTGCAACCGACATGAAGTTTTTGAATCCATCACCATCCACAAACCGAAATGGAAGCTCATCAACAATGATCATTCTAGCTAGTTGTGACCTAATGGCTTCTTGATCAAATTTCCAACTAATTAAACCCCCTGCCATTCCACCATCCTCAGCTATTGAATGCAAAACCAATTTCGATTGTTTTTTCTCGGTCACATCCGGATTAGCCTTACAAACAGAAATATGGTGAAGAAGTGCAGACGTACCATTCTTTCGAGTATCACATCTGTACAGTTTTTCGCAATGGTTGCATTTGGCTCTGGATATACCGTCGACTACCAACTGTTCGAAGTGTTGCCAAACTATGGACCTTCTCGAAGTACCACCGTCCCCTGCAATCCTGGGACGAACAGTCGCAACAGCTGCCTCACTTGAACTCCCTGGACGGCTTCTCTTTAATTTTGAGGTCTGAGTCTGACTTGCAGCAGATTCATCATTCGTCGATGGAGATGGACCAGATGGTGGACCTCCTGTCGGTGAATCTTCCTCCATCTCTTTCTCTTCAACAACAAAGTTCTGAACAAAAAGAAACCGCAGTAAATAATATGTATTTCGCATTTTCACTGACAATATTACACAAAAAAAAAATAATAAAAAAAAGAAAAATCAAAATCGGGTCTGAACTCTGAAATTAGGGCAAAAAATTAATTGTTTCAACTTTCAAGATTGAAGATTTTCAGACCAGATGAAGGATTTTCAGACCAGATTCTGAAAGAATATGAAGAAATGAAAACGAAAATAAGAAGACAGAGAGTGAGATTTACCTTAACTGAAGAGCGAACGCCGGACTGCCGGTGGGTGAGCGCCGGAAGATAGGTGCTGCGGCAGACGAGAGTTGAGAGACTGAGTGAGAGGTGAGAGTTTGAGAGAACTCAGAGAAGTGAGAACGGCGGCGGATTTGAGTCTGAAAAATGAGTGTAAATTAGGTTTTAGGTTACAAAAATCGTGTAACAGAAATCGTGTAATAAAAATCGCTCACTAGTCACTTGTATGCTACCTGCCTGTATGTAAATGTAATATAATAAAAGTACCCTATTTTCGGTGCGGTTCGGTTAAAACCGCACCCATCGGACGGAAAACCGAACCGCACCGAATTTTTTCGGTTTTCTGAAAATGTAACCGAACCGTAACCGAACTCTAAAAAAACCGCACCGAACACACCGGTTCGGTGCGGTTTTTCGGTTTCGGCTCGGTTTTGCTCACCCCTAGGTTGCACCTTAATTTTACTTTGTTGCTTTTTTAGTTGGAGCAGCCCAATAAAAAGAAAAGAAAAAGTTTAAGAGAAAAATGGCCCCAAGATCAAGCAGGGGCAAAAGGAACAAAGCCTAGAATGAGAAGAAGAAGAAAGAAGAGAAAGGTAATTTCTTAAGTTCTCGTCAATTTATTTATTTATTTATTTTCATTGTAA